ATCTATTCATTTGATATTTCTCTCTCTCTCTCTCTCTCTATATATATATATATATATATATATATATATATATATAAAATCTGTTTTATACATCTCTCCTCAATGATCCCCATCTATCTATCTATCTATCATATCTCTTATAATCTCTCTCTCTATATATATATATATATACATATATATACAATCTGTTTATACATCTCTCCCTTTTGATCCCTCATCATCCCTATTCATTCATTCATCTATCATCTATCTATCTATCTCTCTCTCTTTATATATATATATATATATATATATATATATATATAGCAATCTTTTTTATACATCCTCCCTCACGATCCCCTATCTATCTATCTATCATCTATCTAAAATCTATCTCTCTCTCTCTCTCTATATATATATATATATATATATATATATATATATATATACTGTTTATACATCTCCTCACGATCCCCATCTATCTATCTCTCTCTCTCTCTCTCTCTCTCTCTCTCTATATATATATATATATATATATATATATACCAATCTGTTTATACATCTCTCCTCACGATCCCCCATCATCTATCTATCTATCTATCTATCTATCCTATCTATCTCTATCTATCTCTCTCTCTCTCTCTATATATATATATATATATATATATATATATATATATATACCAATCTGTTTATACATCTCTCCCTCCATGATCCCTATCTATCTATCTATCTATCTATCTATCTATTTTCTATCTATCTATATATCTCTCTCTCTCTCTCTCTCTAGATATATATATATATATATATATATATATATATATATATATATATATATATATATATATATATATTTTGTCAATAGCTAAAAACCTAATCAGATGAAATTATATCGCTGGATTTGAATCTTGCTTTAAGAAAAAACAAAACTTAACAATATTTTCCTTTGTTAACCAATATTGTCGTTTTTTTTCTCTTATTCAGTGGTACCTTACAGTAAATTACGGAGAAAATGCAAAGAACCAGTGGTCAACTGAAATGCAGTAAGTGATGGTTCTGATTTATATAAAATGATGTAATATCATAGTTTAAGCAATACAAGGCTTGAGAGTCTCTCGAGCTAGAATGTGATTGTTACAATGGTTGTGATGAATGAGGTGTGTGATATGAATGAAAGATTACGAGATTCCTCGATGCGTTGGTCTTCAATTACATCAGACCACTGTAGTTACCATTTAGCTGACTCCTCACTCGTTAATGCGTTGCTGATTTGTCGCTCGTATCGTGTTGATGAGCACGGTTTCACTCGATCAAACTGGCGTTTGTTTCCTTCAAGATCCTTCACTCTTCTGCCACGTTGGAGAGAGTGACAAAATCTCTGATGAAGTAAACTGAAACGAAAGAACAAATCGACGTCGAGGAGCTACCCCAAAAAGAATTCTTTAGAATAAAGAATCAACTCGGGTTAAAAATGTAACAACAATTTGGTTTAGATATGATTTGTTGTATACAGCAGTTTTAACCCTCCCCACTTACTGTTATAATCAAATGACACTGGGATCCCCTATTGGAGTTTACAGCCTGTGTTAGTAGTAATTTAAATTTCTAAGTTATGATCTTCAGGGCTGGCACAAGGTCTTGGTCAAGAGGTCTCGGTGGACCATGTGGATTCCGGTAGCAGTAATGTGGAGATTCTCTAAGTTGCCCAAACCTGCAGCTTATATGGAGTCCTGCGTCCGGTAGTTGTGTGGTTGACGAGGGTCTGGGGTTTGGTTGTCTTCCACCCTTAGCATTAACCTTTTTCTAAAATCCCATACTTTCAAAATATGTTTACTCGAGTAATTTTCCAAATTTAGGGGTTGTCCAGACTCCTTTTGAGAGTGGTCAGAGGAATCAAGCCGCCCCTTAACTCCAACCTTCTTCACGTCTTATTTCGTACCATCGCTCCACATAGGCGTTGCTAATCTCAATCTTCCTTCTCCGACTTTTTCAGCATCCAACCTCGCCCACTGCAAGGGATGGTACATTGTCTTTGTGAAGAATCTAAACTTTTAGTATGCGTAGGCGAAAAGGGGATTTCCAGCCATTAATCTTCCTTTATCAGCTTGTCTCACGCTGGTTGTTTTAAGTTATTTCTCGATCGACCATTCCACACAACCGGTCACCTATAATCACTCCAGTACTAGTAATTTATTTTTCTTTATCACTTGTGCCCAAAGGAATCCGAAATAATGTCGGTCATAAAAATTTTAATGAATGTCACAGAAATTAAAATGAATGAACCCGTCTCCAATCATAGACGTTAATTTCTATTTTTGTAGGGTTATTCTTCTTCAAACCATATGTTTTTCCTAGCTTTTTGTCCAGAACCATTTTTAGATGAGAGAACCGCTCTACATAAAACACCTGACACTCAGTATTAATCTCATCTTATTTAACAATGGAAATAATATGGTAAATGTTAAGAGAAGGACACCAACTCGATTTCCATTTACTTTCCTTTCGCGGGGCTTGTATATTTGTACAGCAATTCCTCTTTTATACATGTTTCATTGAAGACGACTAACAAGATACTGCGATTAAGCTTTTTATTTAATTTTTTTGTGATCGTATAAGTCTTCAATTTTCTGAACATAAAATGTCCAACTGTTTTGTATATCCAAGCGCTTTAGGTTATTCTTTTAGCGATCATAAAAGATGATTTTCATGTTTATTTTCAACTGAATGTATGGCTATTTCATGCGAGAGGAATGGAAGTTTTTTATTTTCTAAAGAGGATCATCACGTTGTGGCTGTGTTCATAGTTGATGTTCTTTTTTATTATTAGTGTTTCCATTATGTATAGTCTTTTTATACATGTGGATGAGGCTATGTTTATTGTATTTTCTACAAGTATGTTGTAGGTGTAGTTTGGTAGGTTTTGTGTGAGTGTTTAAATGAGTCCTAATTGATCTATGGTCAGAGGAATGTAACGTGAGTCTTCTTGATAGGCATGTGGTGGTATGTCCAATATAATAATTCATGAATTTAGCTTGATCAGGAACACAATTCATTAAGGGGCATGTGAATTCATAAATAATATAATTCCTATAACTATAATGAATCGTATATTTTTATTACTTCAAACGTTATTATTAATGAGTACTCGTATTTGAAATTGATTCTCCAAAGAAAATGTGTTCTCCGACATGGAATGAAACTACATACCACGCTACCATATTTCATAAATTCTGAAGTTAGTAGAAAATGAAGAATAATCATAGATATATACAAAATACGTTTGAGTAGCACAGCGATTACCAACCCGGAAGGCGGAGTTGGCGAGTAGATTTCATTTTGCAGTCATTTTTGTTGCGTTCATTTCGTACTAATGCGTTCGGGAAAAGAAAGTAGTTTTACTGTTTTGGTTTTATAATATCACAAAATGTTGAGGCTCACTCGTGGTCGGGTAATTCTGACAGCGATTGGATTTCCGTTGTCTACGTTTTGGGCATAAGACCCAAACGGAGCGAAGCAATTTTGAAGCGTCGACACGCTTTCTGCGCCCAGATTTCTTACAGAGGCTAGGCCGCACGTGGCGGAATGCTAAGCCAACGAATGGCCATACGTTCGCCTGAAGTTCTTCCCCCTACTATCTCCTAGAATTGATGCTAGCACGTCTCTCTCTCCCTCTCGTATAATAAAACGAATAAGAAAAATAAACCGTCTATAAAGTGTTGCTGGGGTTCTGAAGAACTGAAAGTCAATGGCGACACGGAGCGTAAACAATAAATCAGCTCCGTATCACCAGCATGATGAAATATTACATAATCATCTTGTGTAAATGTTGCATTTTTATGTAAATTTATATTTTAGATTTGACAAAGGTATTGCCTACGACGATGTGGAAGGTATATTCACTTTTGGTGGCTCGGAGAATGTTCCTGCCTTTGAAGGTTATATCGGACAAGTAACAGTTTATCGAAATAGAATAGTTCCCGCCAAAAAAGTAAGAAATAATTACATTTTTTTTCACTCTTTTCAGAATTTTATCTTGTATCAACAGACTTTTTTCTTTTTTCGCTTCCATTTATTTATACTTCCTTTTCTATATATCTATCTTTTATTTTTTCCATTTCATTTTCAATTATTCTATCTGTCTTATTAGGTAGCTAGCTATTTTAGTCTCTAAAAGTCAATCTGTCTATTTGAGTTTGTTTATATCTATCTATCTATCTATCTATCTATCTATCTATCTATCTATCTATCTATCTATCTATCTATGTCAGTCCGTTCCTACGTATCTATCTATGTCAGTCAGTTTCTATCTATCTATCTATCTATCTATCTAGATGTTAGTTACATTACTTTTTCTACCGCCACCGGCTTTCTTCAGGTGTTTGTCGACCCCTGTAACCATCAAAGGATTCTAAACTGAAGCTTTATTTAATCTAGTTGATTGTTTTCGTTCCGCCGTCCATGTCTACGAATAGTTTCTGGTTTTTTTTTTTTTTTTTTTTTGATGGTGGCTCTGAGCTTGAGTCTGTACTTCCCGGCCTGGGGATTGGACTCACAATTAATATGCCCCTAAATTCACATCTAGCATTTTTTTAAATTTCATTCCACCGGTGTTGTTGGATAGCTTTTCCCAAACATACATGATCAGTTATGCTTGATTTCATTCAATTCTGATTACTGTGTTTCGATGTTTCCACAGCCATACTTTTAAGATGCGGCTCGTTTCGTCCTTGTATTCTTTAACATTACTCTCGTCACAGATGAAGGAACAGAAATGTGGTTCTACAGAAGGCAGCTGAGGATACCTTGGACTGAACATGCAAGCAACGTCGAGTTTTATTGAGAAAATGGAAACAAAAAGGAAACTTATATTTAACACCAGGCACAGAGAGTTGAGGTTCCTGAAGCACATAATGAGAAAGAAGGGCCTAGAAACTCTGATACAAAACTGAAGAGACAGAGGAACGCAATGCATGGCATAATTAGTGAGCTTGTACAAATGGATGGTGGAACAAGGTTTAGGAGGAATAACAGAAAGACAAAGATTTATTTTAAGAGATGCAAAGGACAGGAAGTTGTGGAGAGCCATGATTGCCTACGTCCTAAAGAGACAAAATACATTGCAATAATGTTCTTCTTCGAACATTATTGCAAGGAATGGGATACATACAGTTCTTGGTCATTGTGACGAAAGCAGATAGCTTAAAAACGCATGCACGCATATATTAGAGTTAATTTCCGCCTAGCAACAGAATAAAAGTCACGTGGGAATCTTATGAAATTTTGGGAAGGCAGGTCAAAAGGTTGACTGACCAAATTACCCGTAGCGATAAATGTCTAGACAGAAGCTAGACAGGGGGCTGATGTAAGCTGGAATTCGCGCCAAAACTTAAGACACGTGATAGTCAGAGATTCACTCGAGAATTAGTTGCTATCTTGACTTTGAAGAGGCAAGATCTGAAGCCGAAGCGCTGATAGTTTATGAACGGAAAGATAAGACGCATTTGATAGTGATGGAACTTATCCAGTTCAACCCAGGCAACTCCGGACAAGAAATATAACAAGAAGTATTCCTGTTCGAGAACCCCAAATTGAAGACGCAGAGAAATTTATACGCTGAGGATTCAGCCTGCGTTTAAAGAAAAAGGAAAACCAGAGAAGAAAGCATATATCTCTGTTACAAGTTGAATTGTGTAAAGAAAATAAAAAGGATATCCAAAGAGAGGAAGAAAGTGTATACCTCTGTTATAAGCTGAATTGTGTAAAGAAGAAGAAGGATAGAAAGAAGAAAACCAAAGAGAGGAAGAAAGTGTACATCCCTGTTGCAGTGAGTCGGGTTTGGGAACCGAACTGTCTACAGAAGAAAAGGGAAGGAAAGAAAAAGGCAAAACAAAGAGAGGAAGAAAGTGTATACCTCTGTTACAGCCGGACAGTGTGTGAAATTGTGTTTGTGTCGAGAAAAGAAAAGAAAGGACAATGATAAAAAAAGAGAACTGAATATAAAAGATAAGTAATCATATTTTGGACCCGTAGTAGAAAGATATACATACATCCATGAATCTTATGTTTTTGCAAACACCTTTCCACATGTAAAACAATAATTGTAACTCCTATCCCATGTCTTTTATGTATGCATTGGCTTCTGCATTCAATTCATAGTAATTCATACTTATATTTTTGTATGTTCGGGTTCAGTTGAATCCATTTGGTGTTAGGGGAATTTTGATATCCCAACGTAAGTCTTGAGATCTGGTCGTCGGATGTTTTAACTCATACTTATCTGTTCTTTTATTTTGATATTTGTATATTTGTACATATTAAAATTCTTGTATCAAAAATCGCTAAGCCTTATAGTTCCTCCTTGTATTGTGGATCAGTATTCGTGTTGAAAATGAAGCGGACCTGGGAAAGATTACTGTTCGATTATCCCAATCGAACAGTGGTCTTAAAAATATTTTTGTTTACCAATTGTCCATTGTCACGATCTGAGAGAGATAGCTTGTATCTCTCCACAGGTGTGAGAATGTATATATCTCCTAGTCGGCGTGTGATCGCCCTATAAACCCATTCGTCGACTGGGGCATATGACAGTCATGAAAAATATGGTGGATATGTTTCTAAATATAATCTTAATGTTTCTAAATATAATCTTAATGTCTTTGTGCCTCAGATCTTCGGAATTCTTTTTAAAATGCCTTGACGTATAGATGATAGATCATGTCAGTTTCCCGATTCTCTTGGACTTTCTTAGACTCTCGTTATTTCGAGGCAGCTATCAATCTTTCATAAATTACTTCTTTTCTCTGTTTAATAATTTTTCCTTTTCTTTTTTTTCCCTTCTTGTTTCCTTCCCTTTCTTTCTTAGTGATTCGATCTATTCTTTCGGATTTCAGAGTCCTTTCAGCAATAAAGATAATTAATATCGTAAAAAGTATATAAATAAATATAAAACAAACAAAAAAGTGTTGAGAAAACTAAGAGAAATTGACACTGATTTTTCCACCCTTTTAGATTTCGATGCCCAGTCCGTATCATCCAATGTTTGAGTTAGCCCTGAGTCGCCGGAGCAGACTTTGCAACCATTTCATTAACTGGATCGATGCCAAAATCTTTGAGTACAGGAAGCTGAAGAAGAAACTCATCCTTAAAGGTAATCGCTATATCCCCCATATATATATATATATATATATATATATATATAAAGACAGGAGGAAAAACTATTCATGGCCGACGCGTTTCGTCCTTTGAGGGACTTTATCAAAGCAATGTAGGATTTATTTTATTGTACGTGTTTATATATAAATGCGATGATGACGTTGGTTTATTAAGTTTTTTTTTAAATTTGAGAATGTTTATGAAGTGATAAACTAATGACATCCTCGCGTTTGTATATAAACACGTGCAACAAAATAAACTCTACATTGCTTTGATAATGTCCTTTAGGGGACGAAACGCGTCGACCAAGAATAGTTTTTCTTCTTGTCTTTTTATTCATTTTGTCCCTTTACAAATACACTCTATCTGAAAATAATATATATATATATATATATATATATATATATATATATATATATATTATTTTTATTTAAAAAATCTATAACATAAACATGTTATAAAATCACTACAAAAAAATAGCCATTGGCTATTTTTGTAGTGATTTTATAAAATGTTTATGTTATAATTTTTAAATAAATAATTATATCTGCTCTACTTTGTATTGAGCACTCTTTTAAGAATAGTAATTGTTGGTTATTGGAATTCATTCTGTATACACCAATGATATACTTGTATATATATATATATATATATATATATATATATATATATATATATATATATCACAAAAACGCAAAAGTATTGGTAAAATAAATACAAAGCTTGTCCGGTGGCGAAAAAATACTGATAAAAAGTAAAACCAGCAACCGATAATGGAAAAGCCAAGAAATAAAACAGGAAGATGAAAAAGGGGAATGGAAATATAAACTAAGGTAAACAAAACAAATGATAGACTCCTACCCAAACAGCATTAAAGAGTGCTCTAAGACTAGATTACTGGGACAGAGCAAATACGCTTCCTTGCATCATGACTCAGAGACAAAGTTCAGACCGCTATTCAAGTTTCACTGCAGCGCAATCGTCAGGCGACTAGAACGATCGGCTGACGATTGTGGTAACGTCAAACTTTCGTAGCGGTCAGTTCTTCAAGTCCACATGCTTCCTTTTCTTTTTTTCTGGGACTTGTAAACAATCAACCGATCCTATATCGCATTTCAGAAATACTATATATTTCCAGCAACCTGCGTGGCTGTTTTATTCATTAGAAGATCTTTTCCCCACTAATCTTTAATCTTGAGATATTCTCCTCTATTTTACAGACACGATTATGCATTCAGAACATAGAGTGTTTTTTTTTTATGCTGTCGGATTGACTGGACTTTATCATCTGATCAGAAGCATTAATCAGACTTTCTATAACTTAGGATCTGGTGTCTGTTTTTACTTCTATAAAAGTAGTATTTATTGAGTATTGTCTTAAAAAAATCAATTTCGTCGCATTTGAAAACTTGTTTTAGGTCAGATTCTTTCTAATCAGTCAACTTTGACGGAAGGCGCTTTGATGCGGAACAGCGACATTTTCCTCAAAGTTGCACTCTTCATGCATTGTTCCATATATATATCTAAGACTGCGTGCAAATGAAATTTTAAAATTTGCTTATGTTGTGTTGGTGCAGTATAATGTGCATTGTATAAATTACAATGTTTGTATTCAATTTTGTTCATTCACTCTTTCTCTTTTCTTATGAGGTTAACTGTTCAATTTGCTATTGAGATGGTTACTGTTCTAACGAGGACAACCATGGATCATGCATTGTTTGGCTCTGCTAGTGTTCTTTCAGTGGACAAACATTCCTTCAAAGGCGAGATGTTAAAGAACTGCTAGCGATATAAGTGTGATGAAGGAAAGTTTGCAGATTGATTATGAAGATAGTCAGAATTGTTCACAAATATGGGAGAAAGAAATTGGAGATAGACGTAATGCTCCTCTTAAAAGTTAAGAAAATTGTACAGTAAAGAAAATGAAGTTAATAAGAATAAGAATACAGGTAAAAAAGTTGCATTTCAGGAAGAAATGAAGGAGTTCTTTGATATCTGTTACTCTCCCCTTGTCTCCTGTTAGGTTATGAAGTGCAAAGTTAAGAAGTGTGACAGATATCACCTGGTCTGTAATTGTGATATAAAAGTTCCCAAACGTGAGGTGCAGTTCCTTCTTGACCAGCAAGATGGTAGGCAGATGAAAATTGCAGGGATTGACATGAAAGTTACGATGACGTTGGGCATAGTGACACTAAGAGAGAAGCATGATGCGGACAGATTAATCAAAGACATAGACGAAATAACTTTTTATTCAAATATAAATCAGATAAAGGAAGATCAAGAAAAACAAAAAAAAAATATTCGCTGTTTTTTTTTTTATTAATTGTCAGTAGTGTATGATCTTTTAAATTTTATAATTATGAACAAAAATCGTTTATTTTTTTTTGTCAACGCTTGCAATGCTGACCCTAACCATAAAACTAACCTTGACCATAAAACTGAATTATATGTATCGTCAGGTTTTCTTTTGTTTGTTCTTTAATACGGTAGTAGTGATTTTCCAAATGTAGCTCAGATGTGGCACAAGGCCTAATGTATGGGATACCCAGTGAGGATCGAACTCACAACTCAGTCGTAAGAGTTCTAGCTAGCCAAGCTTGCTAACCATTACACCACGTCGAGGTGCCCAAAGATTTTCCAAGCGAAGCTTAGATGCGGCACAAGGCCGAAAGCATGGGGCATCCAGTGAGGATCGAACTCACTTTTCAGTTGTAACTGTTCTCGCAAGACAAGCTTATTAACCATTAGACCACGCCAAGGTGCCCTTAGTGATTTTCCAAGCGTAGCTTGGATATGGCACGAGACCGAAAGTAGGGGACATCCAGTGAGGATCGAACTCACTACTCAGTCGTAATTGTTCTAGCGAGACAAGCTTGTTAACCATTACACCACCTCGATACGGTAGTAACAGCAGCAGCCGCATAAGTTAGCGTAATTTGTTATCTCCCTTTACTACATCATAATGTCAGTTTTTTAACTAGTAACAAAATTTTACCAAACAATTTTGGTATGCTTTTGAATATTTACAATACAGCCAGGTGGTAGAATTTTTTTTGATTTACAAAAAAACAACTTTTTTAATACAATTGTTCAAGCAATGCAAGCTTCGAGAGTCACTTAAGGTAGAAGGTTACTGTTAAATGGTTATGATGAATGAAAAGGTTGTAGGAAGTGACGATTATGAGGATAAGGAGGATAGATAACAAGAGATTAAGATTGCAGTGTTCTGGCAAGCATGTTCGCAGAAGTCTATTCCACAATGAAGCCGTTGTTAGGAAAAAAAGATTTATGAGTGGAACTTTTTCCTTGCATTTGGAATATGGGGAAATGTGGGTGATTCGCAGTAGCTTGCAAGTTAAGTAGAGGTCTGAACTTCGTCTTTTTTCAGTATATATATATATATATATATATATATATATATATATAATATCATCCACATACAGGCCTGTTTAGCTGTATCACAGCTCACCAGTGCGGCTTGACATCCGATTGCTTTAAGCCGGAATCGAAACTCGACCGATTTGGCATCAGTCGGAGTTTCTACCCCTGAGCTATCAGCGACCGACGGGAAAGGGAAATTCTAGCGTATTCTTTTTACGAATGTAAACAAACGCCAGGCGGCCATAGTGCTCTATTCGTTTAAAGAAGAGAGTTGCGTAACTAAGCTTATAATATATATTTTTAAGCATTTCACCCCAAGCAAGGCGGGAAGCCACTAGCACTCAAGAGGTTACAGAGAGTTGGAGCGAGATCAAATAGGAGTGATAGAGGAGAGGATGAGGAGAAGGATAGTGGATAGATCAAGGCAACTGGAGAATAGTTGGAGATTATAGCTATCAGGGAAACAAGAAAAGGGGAGGGAGTTCCACAGGCGAGGGGTGCGAGATATGAAGCTATTGGAGTAGAATAGACGGCTACATTTAAGTTTCAACAGAGAAAGGGTGAGAGCGGGATGCCAGCCTCGTAGGGCGCTTGAATTCATGAAGTCTGCGAACCAGCGAAAGCAGCTCATCGGAGCAATTACCATGAAAGTATTTGTCCAATTAAACGAACTTACTGGGTTACAAATTAGGTTAGAATAATTAGAACACGAATACGTTAGATTAGTCAAACAGACAGAGGGAGAAAAAAAAACACAGACTAGATAAGTTGGCAAATACAGAGAGAGAGACAGAGACAGAGACAGAGAGAGACAGACAGACAGAGACAGCGCGCGCACGCTTTGGGTAAATTTCGGTAGAGCGAATTCTACTCACTTATGGCAGCAAGTCTTCATATTCGTCCGCTTTCATTCTCATGGTCACTTAGTGAAAGTTCAGGCTAGCTTTATCACCAAGCTCTTTGTTTCAATGAACGCAGAGCTGGAGGCGCGTGGTCAACAGGCATCCGCCCCCCCCCCACAATAGGCTTGGGGTACTTGCATTCAATAAAATTAAAAACAACGGGAAGAAAGATACGGCTACAAAATTCCACGCTGGACTATTTTATCTAGTAAGATATTCGGCCCACTAGAACATAAGAATACTGACGACGTACTCTGCCTACTGTATACCCTACTGCATCCGGATTATAAGCTTAGTTACGTGTCTCATTAAGCTGATTGTCCCGTGGAGTTCATATTCATTTTTACCCGGCTTTTTCAGCAGCGCTATGAAGATGCATCTAATAAGACCTTCCGGTATTTCATCACTGTCGTATATTTCATATATTATTTCTGCCATTTTGTTCATCTACGATCCATATAAGTCAGTTAGAATTTCTATTACACTCCAATATAGTCCTGCTGTTTTTGTTACCTGTTCACCTTGTCCAGTGCCGATTTCACTTCAGACTTTAATATTTCTGGTCATTCCATAGTGTTGCTTATTTTAGATTCTCCTCTTTTGTTGTGGAACTTTTTTTCTCGATGTATTCGTTCCAAATGTTAAGTATTTTTCCTGTTTTGTAACGTTGCGAATTGCTATAGCTGAAAAATCCGAAATTGGTCAAATAACATTAAAATAGTGTTTTTTTTTCTTTATTTAACATTATGTGTAAAAGACATAAAATTTCTTTTCGTATTTTTTTTTAAATTGCGAATCCTTAATTTAGATGATAAATGCACGATCCAATATCTTCCTGGAATTTATTATAGCAGAATCAGGCCGAAAATATCACATGATCAGTGCGGATTTATGCTCAGAACGATATCAGAAAGAGCAATACAAATGCAAAATCATGTCAACCTACGTTGTATAGATTATGCATAAGCACGTCACAAAGAAATGCTTGGTAACCTCGAAATATGTGAAAAATATGTGAACTAAGTGCAAAACAATATTTATTACTTATATTATAAAGAAATAATGTTGAAAACAAATTATATTATAAAGAAATAATGTTGAAAACAAATTATATTATAAAGAAATAATGTTGAAAACAAATTATATTATAAAGAAATAATGATGAAAACAAATTATATTATAAAGAAATAATGTTGAAAACAAATTATATTATAAAAGAAATAATGTTGAAAACAAATTATATTATAAAGAAATAATGTTGAAAACATATATTATAAAAGAAATAATGTTAAAACATTATATTATAAAAGAAATAATGTTGAAAACATATTATATTATAAAGAAATAACGATGAAAACAAATTATATTACAAAGAAATAATGTTAAAACAAATTATATTATAAGGAAATAATGTTAAAACATATATTATAAAGAAATAATGTTGAAAACATATTATATTATAAAGAAATAATGTTGAAAACATATATTATAAAGAAATAATGATGAAAATAAATTATAAATAAATAGTGCATAACATTTTCTTTGTCGGCTCTCGATAAAAATAAGTGTAAATCCAGATTCATATGTTTAGGTTTTATTAAAATTTGTGGGAAATTTAACGATCTCCCAAAGAGAGTCATAGCTTGCTGAACAAAGGGAGACAAATGAACATTGTAAAGACATACTTTATACAAGAAACACAATACATAACGAGAAAAAGTATAGATGATTGCTGGAGACACGACACATCTGCATCGTGTTTTTCTTGGCGCCAGCCTGGAATAATCTAATCTCGTTATTTATTTTTATATTATATTTTTTTTTTATTTTTGCTTAATCTTGATCATTTTTAGTTTTCGATTTTTAACTAACGTAGTAAAAATTGGTATTTCTGTCTGCATTTTGAGATGAGTTGTTTAGTAGTTTGTGTTGGTCTGGGAAGGTAATTATAGCAGGTACTCATATATATATATATATATATATATATATATATATATATAGTCATCCACAGCCAGACTGTTTCGCTGTATCACAGCTCATCAGTGTAGCTAGATTGTTTCAAGTCGGGATTGAAACTTGACCGATTTAGCATTAGTCAGAGATTCTACCCAAAGCTGGCACGCCAAAGAAAAAGGGAAAAGTTAACATTTTTACTATACGAAAGATGTCAGTGGCAAGGAGAGCTCGATTCTAGTTGAAGAGCATCGCACACACACACACATACATATATATATATATATATATATATATATATATATGAGTAATGAGAGTAAAAGTGTGTGACTTCAGGATCCAGAGTTTAGTAGGCAGACCTGTCCGTCCATTCTTTTGAGGAAGCGTCTGGCTAGCAAATTACTGCTTTTTTAATTTCATGGCAAATTTGTAGTTTAAAAAAGCAGTAATTCGACCTTCTTAACCAGACGCTTCCTCTGTAGCTAAGTGGTATAGTTCATCAGACTCTATGACAGGTTCGATTCTTGTTGAAGGACCCATATTTCTTAGGAAATTTCTCGGACATGCTGTTAATACTGTTTTTTATAAACAGAGCATTTACTTAAATATTTGTATCTATAAAAATAATGTATAAACAATAAATATATTAAAATAATTGTCGGACTTAGTCCATTATATATATATATATATATATATATATATATATATATATATATATATATATATATAACATAACATTGACGTCCACTCACAGGCAACAGGCTGTTTCATGCTTGACGCAATCGTCTGGAGTGTTGGATTTTTCTCGACTATTTATATATATATGGATCAGTGGGGCATTGTGGTTAATCGATTCTGGTGGTTATTCGGGCGGGGGGTGACGTGTTTATTTATTCATTTATTTGGGTTAATTTGTTTTACTTGTGTTTTATTCTCAATTTTTATTTTATATATTTATTCCTTTCGGTTTTCGATGTTTTATTAACGTATTAAAAAATGTGGATTTGCTTAGGTCTATTATTTAATAGTTTGTTTTGGTTTGGGAAGATAAAGCTATTTATTCATCCAATTTTTGGACTGATTGCCGTAGTCTATTCTGTAATTTTCGCCAGGGACACTTTTTAATTTGTTTATTATTTACTTATTTATTTATTTATTTGGATTGATTATTTTTACTTGACCATACATTTTATTTTCTTATACTTAACGTTTAGTCCTTTCTAAACTCCTGAATTACTCGTGTAATCATGTTCATATATTTGATTGTCTCTCCAGCCGACGACTATATATTTTCTTTTCTTTTTGTGATGCCAACGAACACTCGTTGCCACTTTTGTGATGTCAACGAATACACGTTGTCACTTTCGTAATGCTTCTGTGGTAGAGACTTTGTAATCGCAGATAAAACTATAGTAACGCCGTTGAACAATACTGGTGTTAGATGCCTTCGAATAACATTCGCACTAATAGTACTTGCTCAATAATACTCGCTCGAATAGTAATCCGTATAGTAATTCGAAAAGAGAAATAGTATAGTGGAGAATAGCGATCCGTATAGTGATAGAGGAGAAATAGCGATCTGTATAGTAATAGAAGATAGACTAGAAATAGCGATCAATTAGCCGTCACGTTTCTTTTTATTTATGCGTTTCTCACATGGTCACGTGATCAACTGAATTCAATAATGGGATCGCCTGTGGCAATCTATGTTCAAACTCAAGTGTCGGCAGCGACACTTTATTCCTATATAACATTTATTATACTTACTGTTTAGTCGTTTCCAAACTCCTAAATCAGTTGTGTAATCAATAGTTGATATCAATTTTTTAATTCACAGGTACATGCAGTGATTACTTCACGAAACTGAGGCGTCGGATTCAAGCATCCAGTTGGTCGGAAAAGCAGTGTAGGGCTTACAGTGGTCCGGTCTCTGTTCATTATCGGTTAGTAAAAAACAACTTATGGCGACGAGTGGTCAGCGGACTGGACTGGCAAATGCTGAACTCAGAACAAACCGGCAACATTCTCTATGACAACATCACAAAAATAATTGTAAGTTAATTATGATATATTTTATAATTTGTTTAATTTTAATATTTAAGGAGCAAGTCGTAGAACTTATATTAAAATGAGAGATAATAAAGAAAATGCCGCAAATATAAGGCTGGTGATAGGTATTCCCTCCTATGTATGGAGGAAAAATTAGCTATAGCCACTTATAATAACCCCAATATGTTACTTAATCAGAAATCGAAAATTCTTTATAGGTGTAGACGCAAAAAGCCTGGTTACTTCAATAAGATAATTGTTTTGTGTGTGGGTATTGGGGGGGGGTTCCAAAGAAATACATTTGATCTACTCGCTTTGTTTTATTTGGCTTGTTTTTGTTTTGTTTATATGGTATTTTTTTTTTGGTGGGTGTTTTTCCCCCAATAAAATGACGTTTGGGCCAAACATCTTTAGCCAGTTTTACCCTGATGATCCGTTAGGAGAAACCTGGGTAGGTAAGTTCTAGCTCACTAGCTTTATATATATATATATATATATATATATATATATATATAGTGTATCACAAAAGTGAGTACACCCCTCACATTTCTTCAAATATTTAAGTATATCTCTTTATGGGACAGCACTGAAAAAATTACCTTTTGACACAATGAAAAATAGTCTGTCTGCAGCATATATAACAGAGTTAATTTCTTTTCCCCTCAAAATAATTCCAAATATAGCCATTAAAACTAAATCCCTGGCAACAAAAGTCAGTACACCCCTAAGAAACTACACCCCTAAATGTCTAAATTGAGTACTGCTTTTCATTTTCCTTCCAAAATGTCATGTGACTCATTAGTGTAACTATGCCCATGTGTTCATGGGGAGCAGGTGTATTCAAATTTGTAGTGCAGCTCCAACACTCTCTCTTACCGGTCACTGAAAGTTCCAACATGGCACCACATGGCAAAGAACTCTCTGAGGATTTTAAAAAACGTATTGTTGCACTACATAAAGATGGCCAAGGCTACAAGAAGATTGCCAACACCCTGAAACTGAGCTGCAACACAGTGGCTAAGATCATCCAGCATTTTAAAAGAGCAGGGTCTATTCAGAACAGGAACTCGGGTAGGTTGTCCAAAGAAGCTGAGCGCACATGCTGAGCGTCACATCAAAATGCTTTCTTTGAAAGATCGGCGTAGGAGTGCTGTTAGCATTGCTGCAGAGATTAAAGAGATTGGGATTCAGCCTGTTAGTGTTCAGACCATACGCCGCACACTACATCAAATTGGTGTGCATGGCTGTCACCCCAGGAGGAAGCCTCTTCTGAAGGCAATACACAAGAAAGCCCGCAAACAGTTTGCTGAAGACATGTCAACAAAGCCCATAGATTACTGGAACCATGTCCTATGGTCTGATGAGACGAAATTTAATGTTTCGTTCTGATGGCCTTAAGCATGTGTGGCGGCGACCAGGTGAGGAGTACAAAGATAAGTGTGTCATGCCTACAGTCAAGCATGGTGGTGGGAATGTCATGGTCTGGGGCTGCATGAGTGCTGCAGGTATTGGAGAGTTACATTTCATTGAGGGAAACATGAACTCCAACATGTACTGTGAAATACTGCAGCAGGGTATGATCCCCTCCCTCCAGAAACTGGGTCGCAGAGCAGTGTTCCAGCATGACAATGACCCCAAACACACATCCAAGACAACCACTGCTTTACTGAAGAAGCTGAGGGTAAAGGACTGTCCAAGCATATCTCCAGACTTGAACCCAATAGAACATCTTTGGGCCATCCTCAAGCAGAAGATGGAGGTGCTCAGTCTCAAATATCCGCCAGCTCCGCAACGTCGTCATTGAGGAGTGGAAGAGCATTCCAGTGACTACCTGGGAAGCTCTGGTAAACTCCATGCCCAGGAGAGTAAAGTCAGTTTTGGATAATGATGGTGGCCACACAAAATATTGACAGTTGACATGTTGTATGTTAATATTGACAACTTTTCCTAAAGGGTGTACTCACTTTTGTTGCCAGGGATTTAGCTTTTAATGGCTATATTTTGAGTTATTTTGAGGAAAAATAAATTAACTCTGTTATATATGCTGCAGACAGGCTACTTTTCATTGTGTCAAAGTGTCATTTTGTCAGTGTTGTCCCATGAAGAGATATACTTAAATATTTGAAGAAATGTGAGGGGTGTACTCACTTTTGTGATACACTGTATATATATATATATATATATATATATATATATAATAGTGTTCAACATATATATATATATATATATATATATATATATATATATATATATATTTCCAAGGGACAGAATCCAGGTAAAGCTCAATGTCCAGAACAGGGCAAGAATATAATATAAAAAAAAAAACTCAAACACTAATATTCTATGGTTATAATTTATTACATTGGAATCGTAAAGGTCTGATGAATTGGATCGTGATTACGATTCCAATGTAATAAATTATATAGAATATTAGTGTTTGATCCTTATATATATATATATATATATATATATATATATATATATATATATATATATTTTCTTGTGGAAGTGTTTAAGAGGGCAATACCAATTCCCTGGTTTTCAACTACTCAAACATATATTATAATTTTGTTAACCACTTCCCCCCAAGGTGAGAGTGCCACTAATAGGCAGGGGGTTACATGGAGTGAAAGTGAAAGAAAAGACAGTATAGGGAGGATTGACGAAAGGTCAAAAGATGAACTGGATTCAACAAGAGAGAAAATGGAGCTTGACGCTGCATTTAAATTTTTGAATATTGTATTCATCAGGGAGCAAGTAGATAGAACGGAATCCCACAGGCGGGAAGTGCGAGAAAAGAAACTGTTGAAGTAGAAGTAGAAGTGGCGGTTGCAATTAACTATTTCAACAGTAAACGGGTGGGACCTAGAAGCCAATCTAGTAGCTTGCTTAAATTCATGTAGTCGGGACACTAGGGAGAAAGCTTGTCAGAGCATTTGCCATGAAAATATTTGTAGAAGAGACAGAGGGAAGCCATATTACGTCGGTGAGAAAGTGACTGAAGTCGAGATGCCAGGTCAGGATCGATTACATTACAGACCCTTCTTTGGATTTTGTCAAGAATCTGGAGATGTACAGCAGGAGCACCAGACGAGGTATGGCAACAATGCACGGACGAATGGTAGATTTTTAAATGTGCAAAATTAAATCTGGTTAGAAAAATCTTCTGGCACGACCAACTATCCTTGCAGTAGATGCAGCTATTTATTCAATATAGTCGCTCCACTTCAAGTCAGTGGTAAACGTGAGGACAAGAAGGCGTAGTGGGTGCGTCCGCCTTGTGTATGTGTGTGTGTGTGTGTGTGTATATCTATGTATGTATCTAAGTATATCCGTGTGCGTACGCGCATGTATGTTTCTGAGAGAGAGATACCGGTACCGAACTTATTCAACGTATACAGTTAGACGATTCCGAGAGAATTAGATATCCTACCAGGATTCAACACTAGCAGCCACAATCTTGACAACATAAGATGACACATGACATGCAGGTGACAGTATTGATACCAGACACGGAAAGGAAACTAAAAGAACTTCAACAGAAGGTGGTGAAAGATAACGAGAAGAAAGGAATAAACATCAATTGCAAGAAGAGAGAATACAAGGTTGCTAGCAAAAGGAATCAACCCAACATGCAAATTACAAATTGGAGATGCCAAAATCAAACAAGTACAACAATTTAAATATTTGGAAGTATTTTAACAGAGGAAGGAAAGGGGGACACTGAAATCCGAAGGTGCATTGGGATATCGAAAGCTAAGCAAAGTATTAAGAAATTGAAAAATGCGTTAGAAACGAAAAAAAGGAGTAATGAAATGTTATATAATATATAAAGCAGTAAATACAGATGACGAAAGGACTTGAAGCAACAGAAATATGGTTCTACAGAAGGATTCTGAGAATGCTATGGATCAAACACATAAGCAACAATAAAGTTGTAGAGAAAACAAAAAGGAAACTTATACTTATCAGGAAGAGACAGTTGAAATTTCTAGGGCACGTAATGAGGAAAGAGGGCTCGGAAAATCTGATCCCCAGAGCACAGACTGAAGGCAAGAGGGAAAGAGGAAAACAGAACATGATCTATCTAGAAAGCATGTGTAAACTGATGACAGAACAGGGTTTACGAGAGATAATAAAAAGAGAAAATTGACTTAGCTACAAAGGACACGAAAGAAGAAGAAAAAATTTAAGATATATTATAGCATGAGAAAGAGATAGAGAAATACGCGTACAGACGGATAACAAAACATTCAAAATATTTTACAAGTACGTGAATGAGCTAACTGTAGCTGACTCAGATTTATTCACTTTGATATTAATGTAATGTAAATTATTTCTTTGCTGTGTCACTTCACGTTCGTTCGAGATTTGATATTACACGTCTCAAATCTCGAACGAACGGGAACTGACACAGCAAAGAAATAAAGCAAAGTGCCATGATCGTCAAGCTCCAGAAGGGGATCAGCACATAAAAAAGAAAAAGAAGAATTTCAGTTATTTAAAATTTAAATACAAACAAAACAGACTTAGTATTTTTAATGTAATATATAGTGTCGATAAAATGTAAATAGGTTTAACGAGTTCTTTTTATCGTCCTTCAAACGAGTAGATCTATAATTGTAAAAAAGCTTAATATATTTTTTCTTACATTATTTAAATTATTCGGACTGTTATCCTCTTCATTGCCATATTCACAACGTTTCGGTTGTGGTACGCTCCGGCCTTCTTCAGGTGATTGGAATTTCGAATCGAACCCTTTATTATATTCTGACAATTCAATGGATCTTTCAGACATTTGAAAGCAAGAGATAGGAAATCAACGCAAGCTTGACTAAATGGATAGCGGAACAGGATTTAGGAGAAATAAGGAGAAGAATAAATTTATTAAGAGCTACAAGGGACAGGAAATTGTGGAGAGCCATGATCGCCTACCACCTGAAGGGATACGGCACATAGGAGAAGAATGAGCTTGACTAAATGGATGGCGGAACAGGCTTTAGGAGGGATAACAAAAAGACAAAATTTATTGAGAGCTACAAAGACGGGAAATGTGGAGAGCCATGATCGCCAACATTTTTAAAGGACTCCGCGCAGAAGAAGAAGGAGAATAATTTCAATTAATTTGAAGTTAAATACAGACAAAAGAATCAGTATTTTTAATATATATATATACACCCTTGTGCAAATGAATTCAAACAAAAAGAATAATTGCGTTATTATATACCGTTTTTTTTTTCGTATTTTTCTAATGAAACATGACTCAGTGCACATGATGTTCTTCGTATCTCCATTCCACGAAGTCGTTCCTTGCAGACTGTCCACAGATTCCTGGATTTAAACCAGAAGAGTTTCGGGCCAGTCTGGTAAGGCTTGCCAGTGTGTTTGTGCAGTGTTACAATTTTCGTATGCTTCCCTGGAGTAACATCCATTGTAGACAATGGTTATAGGACAACTAATAACAGTTGAGACAATAGTGTTTGAGCGTGATAAAAATCTGCTGCAATCAAGGATGACTGAATATTTTTCAAGGCCAAACAAATTTCATCATGCACCGCGAAAATAGATTTATATTACTGCACACCACTGCAATCAGAGGAAAAAATAGAAATCGATTACACCCTGTCAATCCAGTGGGTCTAAAACTGACAGTATGCGAAAGAAAGGAAACTAAAGCGGTTGTTTCATTTAATTTGCACAGGGATGTATAGTGTCTATAAAATTGTTATTGGAACTTACTCATAATAATAATGGACTATTCCTGACATTATAAATACTGCGCCTCTCAAGAGGTATGAGGAGATTGTAAGACGAGGAGAGATAATTGAGAGCATATTGTAAGGACATTGGAATAGTGATACTTGTCGAGACAACATAATTCACTCTAACCAAATCTGATAGTCATTACTAATACTTCTACTTCTTTGTATTATATTTCTGTTGTATTATATCTTTGTATTCCATACCTGTGTTCGTGTTATTCTTTCATTGGTTCTAACCTTGGACCATCACCGTGGTATAAGGTATTTGGACCATAACAAAAATGAAAATAAGTTTGGATCGAATTTAACGGCTTCTTTTTTCGTTCTTCAAATGAATAGATATTGAGATGTACAAAAGTTTAATATCTGTCTTTTTTTTCTTGTTCTTTACGACGTCCAGGAACAAGAAGCATTGGGACAAATGAACAAGACAGTTATCCTCTTGAAGCAATCGGCGTGTCTGGGTAACAAAGAAGCTATGTACATGTTATCAGTGATCCTCAGTAATGGGATACACATGAAAGCCGATGAGATACAGGTAAGTACAAAGACAGATGTAATTAAGCTTGAATTTGAATTTACTTTAATTACGGTACGAGTTAGCACGCAGGGATTTTCCCCGCTAAAGATTTATTTTTTATTATTTCCTTTCTTATTCATACCGCTTACAGGAGACACTCTGATGTGGTCTAATGTTTACAAGTTAGTCTCGCTACATCAATTACAAAAGAAATTACAAAATCTCCTACAGAATGTAGCGACAGAGAGTGAGAAGAAAGGACTAAGCATAAACTACAAGAAGACTACAAGAAGTGCAGGGTCGTTAGTAAGAGGATGAGCCCGAAATGCGATCTGCAGGTCGGGAACACTAGAATCAAGCAGATGCGGAAGTTTAAATATCTGGGAAGCATTTTGACAGAGGACGTTAAGTGTGACACTGAGATCCGTAGACGTATTGGGATGGCCAAGGATGTATTCCAAAAGCTGAGCAGAGGATTTCTTCGGTAACAAAGAAAAGAATACTAAGCTGATACGTGGCATCTGTCCTTCTTTACGGCAGCGAATGTTGGGCGATTTCCTCAAAGATGAAGAATGTTGGGCGATTTCCTCAAAGATGAAGAAGAAACTCGAGGCGACGGAGATGTGGTTCTACAGAAGGATGCTAAGGATATCATAGACCGAGTATATGAGCAACGATGAGGTATTGGAGAGGATGCAAACAATGAGGAGGCTTATACTTAACATCAGGAAGAGGCAGCTGAAGTTCCTGGGACACATAATGAGGAAGGAGGGTCTGGAGCATCTGATACTCACGGGTCGAATAGAGGGAAAGAGAGACAAGGAAAAGCAACATATACATTTCTCTTTTTGAGTAATTTCACGTCTACTTATCATCTCTCAGGGCGGCTTTTAAGCTAGTTTATAATCAAACGTGCATTGCAATTTTGGATACAAAAAGAAAATAAGAATTACTCCACTTGCATCATGAAAGCGACGATAAAGGCTAGTATAATATATTAATATATATTTATAACCTCGCATAATCTGTCAACCCTGAAACTGAGCTCAACGAAAAAAGTTCCCTGCGCCTAACTTTTCCAGGGCTTTTGAATGAGCTATGAATCATTGAAATCGGACCAGTGGGGGCGGAGGAGTTTGTTGGACACACATACGCACAAACACTCACATACACTACACTTTATATATAAGATAAATATGAAAACAAATATTTGCAATATGGTTGTCATCCAGAAGAAATTGTCAAGATGTGAACAACAAACTGTATAGACCAGAATCAAGCATGTACAAAAATTTTGGCAATCTTGGATCTGCGTGCCAGCGAAAAAAAGGACTGTCAAAAGAACGTTTTTTTCGCTATTTTTTTAACTACCTTCACTCCTCAGCAATGTTTATTGTTTTAAAACGGAATGATTAGATTTGTAATAAAACCTAAACATAGGATGAAAATAATTTTATACATTTTTGTTATTGAGAATGTACAACAAAAATATTAAACACTATTTATTTATTAGATTGTTCATAAACATGAATAATTTTATATTTACAACATTCTAAAGACTAATACAATTAAAACTAATGCAATGCAATATTTATCATTTACCGATTTATAAAGAAATTGTAGTGGTGTTGTAAGATATGTTGGCTAGGGTTACTGTGAAATGTAATAGCAATCAAGAAGGAAAGCTGTGTTCTTATAAACAACACTCCACATGAAATATGCACAGAATATATGAGAGAAATAAGTCAAGCTCCATGAACATTAAATTTAATATTTGTATTATAACAACAATATACAAACATCAACAATAAGCATGAAAAAGTTACTTCCCTTTGTCTGTAATAAAAAGGGTGAATGCAGTTAAGTAATGTTGAGTTACAATATTAAATGTTAATTAATTATAAAATTCAATTAATGTTCTTCGCTCAATGAAGAATAATTCCACAGTCTGTGAGTGTGAAAAGATGTAATGTGCACAAGTGATATTAATAGAAGTTAATAAGATTACTCGAATGAGTAATAACTAAGAATTAAAATGTTATAAGTAATATAGCGCCGTGCCGTATATTCAGAGAATTGAACCGCTACTGCCGTTGGCTAACAGCGAGAGAGTTTATATGCATAGCCTCAAGTGAGCTTGGCGCCAAAAAATATAGAAAGATACTAAAATACGCGATTGGTCAAGAAATGGACCAATCCGTGATTTTAGAGAAAAGTTCAAATAATGTGCGATGGCAAAATTGTCATATAGTAAATATCATATATTTATGAACCAATGACATTAAAGAAAGCGGAGGTGTGGCACATGTAAGTGATCACCACAAAATAAACGCGGAAACAATTTTTTATTCATAAGTTTATAAACATTTTACTGAATTATTAAAATCTGTGAATCAACTATAGGGAACTCCTTATTATTTACCATTTTATTAAGTTTGAATCAATTGCCAATTATTCATTGTTTGCCAACCATTCCAATAAATAATATAATAAATAATGTAAATAAACAATTTAATAAATAAATAGTGTTAATTATTTTTGTCAATTCTCAAGAATCTAAATCATTCAATAGATACAGGAAACGTCACTGCTGATGCATCCTAAGGTGCATAATTGCCTGATGCACCCTAAGTGCACCAGAGCATGATGCATCATAAGATGCATAATTGCCTGATGCACCCGAAGGCATCATAGCCTGATGCATCCGAGGGCCTAATGTATCCTAAGGTGCATCACAGCCTCATGCACCCTAAGTGCATCAGAGCAGGATGCATCCTAGGTGCATAATTTCCTGATGGATCAGCGAGCGAAATAAAGGGGTCAGTTCGACATTCCAACCACCTGAAGAAGGCCGGAGCGTACAACGGCCGAAACGTTGTGATAAATATGGCAACAAAGATGTGGACGATAGTCCGAACAATGTAAATAGTATACATAATACCTCATCTCAGACATATAGACAAATACATGGGAATATATAAATAAATACATCAGTGGGTCACTCTTTTTCAACTTTTTGCTCCTAGAGGCCGTAACCCAACATATGATACCATTTTGGAATCAGGCCGACTCCGTGAGCAAATTAAAAACATTCTGGAAGGGATCTGGACCCGAAATCCTGAAATTTTGGATTCCTAAGTTTTCATTATTGCGATTGTTTTCGGCGATTTTTTACGGGATTTTTTGCGACATTTTTTTTTGTACGATAACAATTTATGCAAGTTGGAAACAAATTTATATATAACTGACATTAATTGCTAAATCCAGCGAATGTCACTCATGAAATAAAAGTAATTGTTTGTACGGAAAGTAAGGACGTACGTACATCAAATTGTCTTTAAATTAAGTGAAGAATTACTGTTGAACGTGTAAAGGTAAGTTTAAATATTAATGCAATACTTACATGCAGCGATCAATTTTGAGTCCTTCAGTAGTTTTTTTGTTTGCCCATCGCATACGGCAGTAATATGCCTCGCAAAAAGAAATCTCTGCCAATAGCGGACCAGATTGCAATAAAAAAAGGCCAAGGGTGCAGCGAGGAAAAGAAAGACCCGTGCAAATGAAAACCTAGATCAAACGGCAGCAAGGAGAGCTTCCAATGCTGAGAATATGCAAAGACTTAGTTACTCTCAATCTCCTGAACAAGCTGAAAGACCAATCAAGAGCCCTCTTCAGGAGCTATCTTAATTTCCGCCCGACAGGGATGCTTTTAAGCTAGTGTAATCTAAATACAATATTTCATTTTCTACAGATGGATACTGAAAATTCTTTGGACGGAGCAAGTAAACGAAAAGGAAGTCTTAAAGAAAGTGACAACAGAAAGAAAAATTATATTCAAAATCAGGCAACGACCGCTGAAGTTCCTTGGACATGTGAAAGGAGGGCTTGGAGAATTTAACTCTCATGTGGCATATTGTGGGCAAGAGAGATAGGGGGATCTGTGACGTGCTTGTGTGAATGCATAGCAGAATAAGTGGGGACTTTTAGTAAAAAATAAGAGTCACGATCGTCTGAAGAAGAATATTTCATATTTTACACCATTAAATGCTGTAAAAGAAAATGTCTAATCTTTAGTGATTAGACTATTGCAAAACAATTGAACTTTTTAAAAAATTTCAAATAATAAAAAAGAACAATGATAGATGCAAGGGAAATAACTTCTTTGTTAAATCTAAGGGAGACAATCCAGAGCCTAATGTAAACAGAAGACATTTTATTTAAATTAAAAATATCCATATCTCTAAAAACAGTGTATTTGATGAGTAAGATAGTTACACATTTTAACTGGTTCCAGAAGTCAATCTCAGCTAAGTATAATAAATAAGAATGAACTTTACAACCTATCATGACGAGGTACCAACAAAAATGCTTCCTTTTTCCGAAATGAAAGCAGAAATACGGTACCAGCTGTTTAAAAAAATAAATGCCTCAAAAAATCAAGATATTATTAGATTTAAATGAAATTTTCAGTACTTATTTCATTCGAAAACTTTGTGGAAATATTTGTTGTGGGGTCAGTATCACCCGATTTCGATATCAAGTGTGTATTTTTTAATTTGGAAGGTGTTCGCGAAATCAAAAAACAACCATGAAGATTTCAATAAATAAAAAAAATATGTGGCATCAAATGTGTTTTTCCTGAAAATTCGTCCCGAAACTTACTAAAAATAATTCAATAAAACCCAGTAACACTAATAATAATAATAATAATAATAATAATAATTTTTTTTTTTACAATTTAATAATAATAATAATTTTTTTTTTTTTACAATTTTTTTTTTTTTTTTTTTTTTTGTCAGTGGAAAGTGTCATAATGCCATCTTTAACCTTAAGTCACTGGGCGGGACCCGGAAAGAAATGTGTAAACGCCAGAAATCAAAGGAAATAATAATAATAATAATAATAATAATAATAATAATAATAATATATAGTTGGCCATTTGTATTCGAGGATAGCCGTCTACTAGGACCGCTAGCCAATCCCTATTGCAGACGCTTGGTCAGGCGCATTTGGGTTTATTCAACACCCACTGAGCCCATATACTGCAGAAACTATGCTGAGCAAACTCTACTTACAGTTTCTGGGTAAGAGCGTGTTATCTCACGTGATCAACAATTTGAACAAAGCCAGCACGCTCAAACCCTCGGCCACGATGACTAGTGACTTTTTTTTAATTATTTTATAATAAAGACTTAATAACAAACCTAAAAAAAATATTTTTGATAATTATTGATTGCGTAATTTAATAAAACATTTTATTTCCGATTTGCCAGTAAAAAAATCTACACTGAATTTTTATTAAAAAAAGAATACTTGTTATTTTTCAATGCGATTTTGTGGGGAATTTAGCGACTCCCCAAATGGAGTTGTGACTGATAAACATAACACGAGACGATTGAACAGTTTAAAAAACGGCATATTTTGTATAAGTAATAAATTATACAACGAGAATGAGAAGAGTGAATTTGTAAAACATATTCCTATAGCAGTTAATGTCACAGCATCGGGGACAAAGTTGAAATACATCTTTTTGAAATTGATTGAAACACTTATCTGATGTTGATCATATTCTTCTTCCAATGACTGCTTGTCGAAATATTATTCAGGTTGCTCGTGGTTAGCACCGCCTGTATTTTGGAGGAGGCTGAAACACGTCCATTTAGTTCCCTAGTCTTGACACCCCTCACCTTTGGCGCCTAAAGTCACTTTGGGTCTTATCCATTGTTGCCAGATAAATGGACTCATCTCCTTAGCATCTTATCAACCAAGGGAAATAACCTATATTTTTCATAATTTTAAAATTCATCTCTTTGATAATCGTAACAAGAGTTTTTTTTTTAAATTAATTAAAAACGTGTTAAAACAATAAAAAAATGTCAAGTTTAATGTAATTTTCGTTTGTGAACATTTTTTTAAAGGAATCTCTTTTTCATTTTTAAAATCGTAAGATTATTTTTTATGGAATTTCAAAAAGGAAGTAATTCTGTGATTGTAATCAATTGACATTATCAATTCAGTATGTCTTTATCACCTTTTCCCTTTTTTTGTCGCATTAGTTTAATAAATACTTAAAAAAAAAGAATAATTGAAAAAGTCCTCAATAAAAGGATAAGTATTTTATGACATCAAACAAGTAAGAAAATAATCAAAACATAAAAGTAATGAATTAAACTCGAAAGTATTATTTAACTAGATTTTTCTTTCTTTCTTTTTTGCTTTTATTAACTCAAATTTAAAATATTAGGTTATGTCATAAATAATTTCCGTTTCTGTTTATCAACTTTATTTTAATAAAAGTAGAATTATATTTTATTTCACTATACGAGGTCTGTCAAAAAAGTACCGGGACTGGTGCTATAAAAATAAAACTACAACATATATGAATTCTGAATTTAATCTCCTTCGAAGTAGTTGCCTTCTGAAACAACACACATTATCCAGCGCTGTTTCCATAATAGACGCATTCGTTGCATTTTCTTGAATTTCATCGACGTCTTGAAATCTTGTTCCTTTCAAGTGGAATTTCATTTTTGGAAAAATGTCGCAAAGGGCGAGATTCAGGGAATATGGCGATTGTCAGACCCGGGGAATGTTGTCTCTTACCTCATAAATTGCTGCACAAGCCATGGTTACTAATGGAGCATCCGTGTTGTGGTGATACGAACACACTCTACACACTTTCGTTACCATAGCAACAGTCCCGATACTTTTTGATCAACCTCATATATTCATCATTAGTTACAATGACACGCAGCCACTTATCAGGCAGATTTCGGGTACCTTTTGAGTAAAATTCCGCAGAATTCAAGAATTCTAGAATATGGTTTCTATTAGAGAAAAATTTTCCCCATCAAAACATTTTTGCAGCGATCGTAAAAAGTAATAATCTCTTGGTGCAAAGTCAAGTGAATATGGCAGGTCTGGTAGAACAGCCAACCAAGTTCCAAGTGTTTTTCCTGTGTTAAATAACTTTAAATGCTTTGGCGTTGTCATATAGAAGAAGAAAACTTTTTTTCTATTGATGAACGCTGGGCTGTTTTCGGCGAAACTTTTATCGACCTGTTACAGCTGCTGGATGTATAAATGCGCATTTAGTGTTGTTTTATGAACACTAAATAAATAATACCCCGACGATCCCACCGCGCGCAAAGTATTATTTTTCTTCCTTGAAAACAAACCCTACTAAGATTTGGTTTGGTTTGTATCGTTTTACGGCATATCAACCTCAATGGTTTATTTATTGCCGACAAGATTTTATTTTGGTAATATTTTTTTTCAAAAAAATGTATTGCTTGTAATAATTTTTTTCTGAAAAAATTCATTGCTGGTATTTTTTTTTTACAAAAATGTATTGTTAGTATTAAAACCTAGTTTTAATCTTTTATACTGTTTTGACCCCAGTTAGGGGTTAACTATTTGCCCATAGCCGGGACCATAAAAGGCGGTAGTACCTCGAGTCAGGGTGGACCTGGGAACACCAGCAATTAAGAGGTGGTTCCACGCTCCTCAAAACCTCCTAACCAAAGGTCTTACTGTCGGATGTAGTTTATCGTCTTAACCCAGGACGAGACCCTACTAAGGATAGATCGTTTTATTTATAAACGATTCGCTCATAATTCGACAGCTTCAGTAAATTTACTATTTACTTATTTATTTAAAAAAAATATGTCGTTATTTTTCTTTTTACTTTAGTCGATTTAAAAAATCTTACTTTTTTTCCCCCAGGCTCACGGCTACTTGATGAGGGCGTCTCTGGGCGGTCATCGGTTAGCAACACTGGCTTTAGCACACAAACATAACAATGGACTAGACCGTGTGCCTTTCCACAGAGGAATTGCCTACAGTATGTAATCATTTTTCTTAATCCACATTAAAAATCTGTAAGGTGTGCCAAGGAATTGAGAACAAATTATAGCATAAAACAGAAATACCTTCAACAGAAAGGCATCAGTACATATATATATATATATATGTATGTGTGTATTTAGGCAGCATCTTTTCATTCATGCACGTTTCATTTATAGAAAAGTGTTGTCTATTTATTTTATGTAAAATTTTTTCGTAACGTCTGATAAGTTTAATATCATTATCGTTGAACGAAGAAAGAAATTCACAATATTGATCCATATTTTTTTTAATACAATCTAAGCTTTCGGCTTACATAAGCCATCATCAAAGATGTCAATTACAACATATTAAACAATATACGGACAATGACAGACTATCATCACTGTCGTGTCCGTATATTGTTTAATATATATATATATATATATATATATATATATATATATATATATATATATTTGAAATTGTCTACAGATTTCAGTAAAAAAAAAGGTTTATTCAATAAAACTGCTTTGAGGTCGTCTTCGAGGTAGAATATGATGTTTCTGCATGTCAGTGTGTTCTCATTCATGCTGCCAACCACGCCCAAAATAGCGTTTTTCAACAAGAGCTTACAGTGGTTAGAATGTTCACCTTCTTACCATGAGGCCCGGGTTCGAATCTAACCATGGTCAATTTGTCAGGAAGGAATCTCACCTTTGTCGATATATTAGGAAGGTGACTCGATTTATGTTATTGATTTGGGGGTGGTGGTGGTGGTGGTGGCGATCTTTGCGGCACCTTTGGAAAGTGCCTGTAAACCATACCACTGGTTGATCTAAGCCTTTTGAGTGAAATTGGTTGAGGAAACTATTTTGGGATCTGTCGATGGTTGTTTTAGCATAGCACGAAGTCACTAGTCATCGGGACCGAGGGTTTGAGCATGCTGGCCTCGTTCAAACTGTTGATCACGCCAGATAATGGGATCCCTCCTAATAATTGTAACTAAAGTCATCTCAACATAGTTGCACCTTAAACCAGAGGTCGGCTCTGTGAATGTTGAAAAAAAAAAAAAAACAAATAAAAACCCAGATATACCTGAACAGGTTTCATTAATAGGGATTAGCTAGTCGTCCTAATAGACTGGCATCTTAGGATAAATGCTCTCATTATTATTATTATTATTGTAGTATTGTTGCTGTATGTGTGTGTCTCATTGTCTCAATTTTCTGTATCATACTGAAAGAACCCATACCAATGATCTTGGTACGTTTGTAAGAGAAATAAGTATGAGCTCTGGTAAAAAAAACAATTGTAATATGAGCACTGGTAAAAATGTTTAGCAAAGACATTAGGTCTATAATACCCAGAAATTCATACATATATGTCCTCAAGGACACATGGCATAGTGGATACAGACGTTAGTTAGATCCAATGACAGGACCCAAAGAGTGTCACTACCTGGTAAAGGCGGTGGGGAAATTGGGGAGGGGAATTGAATTGGTGTTCGTACATATGATCGTAAAAGATACCGAGAAAAATGGCCGGTGTTCTGTACCGCTCCTGTAAGCGCCTGACCTCTAACTTTGCAAGAACCAGACACATGGCACAGTGAATAAAAGCGTTGGTTAGATCCAGTGACAGGACCCAAAGAGTGTGAGTTCAATACCCGGTTAAGGCAGTGGAAAACTTTGAGAGGGGAATTAACAGGAGATAACTGACATCCATCAAACATAGCACGTGGAAGTAGAACAGTCTACCCCAGTGAGCGAAATAAAGTGTTCAGTTCGACATTCCAACCACCTGAAGAAGGCTGGAGCGTACAACGGCCGAAACGTTGTAATAAATATGGCGACAAAGATGTGGACAATAGCCGAATAATGTAAATAGTGAGAAATAAGTATTTCAAAATTTGGTGCATGTCGCGTAATATTAAGTTAGGTCATCTTCCATTTATGGCTAACTGAAGATCTATTCTCAGATTGCTAGTCTATTTTGTAATATTAACCACATTTCCTTTTTGTTTGATTCTCATCTAGTAAAACGAGCTTTTTGATTGCGTAGCAAGTGGATGCAAAATAAACATGTGAATAAAAAGAGTGACTTGCATTAGATCATTTATATGTTGCTCGAAGTTCGGGGTAAAGTGTCTTCAGTATTCGATGTACCATTTCGCTTAAGATAATCACATAATTCTTTGAGAAATAATAATAATAATATAAAATACAGTGATTTTCCAAGCGTAGCTTAGATGTGGCACAAGGCCGAAAGTAGGGGGCACCCAGTGAGGACCGAACTCACAAGTCAGTCGTAATTATTCTAGCGAGACAAGCTTGCTAGCCATTACACCGCTTCAAGGTGCCCTAATAATATATATAACATTAACAATAATATAATAATATATTATGACAATTATTTTAAGACATTTTTATATTTATACATTCTTTTTATAGATACAAATATTCAAGTAAATGCTCTGTTTTATAATAAACAGTATTAAACAACATTTACCGGCCTGAATGTCCGAGAAATTTTTATAGAACGAATATTTTCTATGAAAATTTCTCGGACAATCAGGCCGGTAAATGTTGTTTAATACTGTTTATTATAAAACATAGCATTTACTTAAATATTTGTATCTATATAATAATTGTTGTGGCGTCTTCCCTTTAATGAAGCTATTGTGGACTCTTCCACTTAATATAAACTCGGGGGAACAGTGATATAAACTGAACGATGGTCAACCGACACACACTCTCAAGTCGGTTAACACACTTCTGTTGAATTTACTATTCAATACACAATTTATCTGCACCCTATTGTTTTGTTATTTCTTAACCAATTACTTAGTCACAACAATAATATAATAATAATATACTATATAATAATAATAATAATCATAATTAAATTTATAATAATAATATATAATAATACAACATATAATAATAATAATAATGATAATAATAATAATAATATTA